CAGGAGCAGAAAGTGTCTGACTTGACGTCTCCGCTTTAATTCCGCCCCCGACTGCAAGCGGCTACTCTCTCCAGCCGGAGGCAGGCTAGCAACTCGAGCAAGTAATTGCGGCGCTGCCGAAGACTTCCTTAACCATGAAAGAAACGTGTTAAGCGGCGCACTCTTGCTCTCACTCTCGCTTGGTCGCTGAGTGCGCACACGTGCATAAGAATTCAACTCTTAATTAACAGTGTAAGTAACTCAGAATGCATGAAATGACATTACCCCGCGAAACTCTGTGTATATCTTTGCCTTACAGACATTAACAATATATAGAGAGAGAGTGAAATGTCTACTTTCAAATGAACCAATTCAAATGGAAAACAAATTCTCAGATTATGTAATCTGTATGAAACATGAATACAGGCGCATCCACTACTGCGAATTCAGTGTCTCCGACTTCATCTCTTAATCCGAAAACAAAAAGCACTAGTTCATCAAATTATTAAAATGTTAATGCAGTCTCCTTACTGTTTTTCCATGAAACATTCATAATCATTGAAATTACTCGTCATCCAGTTTTTTATATCAACTATGCATTCCGTTAGTTTTTCTAATTGGTATGTTTAGCTGGGCCACAAATAAATATAGAGCTGAGGATCATCAGCATAACAGTGAAAGCTAACACCGTCTTGTAGAACACCGTGATATCTCCCAAGGGTAACATGTAAAGCGTGAAAAGTACTGAGCCTTGAGGTACTCCATACTGCACTTGTCTTCATTCACTGCTAAGAATTGATGGGGGTTAGATAAGTACTATGCTAATGCACTTCCACTAATGCCAACAATGTTTTCTAGTCTATTCAAAAGAATGTTGTGGTTGATGGTGTCGAACGCAGCACTAAGATCCAGTAGCACTAATAGAGAGATACAACCACGATCAAATTATAAGAGCAGGTCATTTGTAACTCTAATGAGAGCAGTCTCAGTACTATGATACAGTCTAAATCCTGACTGGAAATCCTCACAGATATCATTTTTCTCTAAGAAGGAATATAAATGTGAGGATACTACCTTTTCTAGTATCTTTGACAGAAAAGGGAGATTCGAAATCGGTCTGTAATTAACTAGATCTTTGGGGTCAAGTTGTAGTGTTTTAGTGAGAGGCTTAATAACAGCCAGTTTGAAGGTTTTGGGGACATATCCTAATGACAATGATGAATTAATAATAGTCAGAAGAGGATCTATGACTTCTGGAAGCACCTCTGTACTCAGACACCTCCCAAGATGGTCTTGATTTGCTTTAAAAAGGTCTGCAATATTATGGAGTGCTGACATAAGGACTGAACTCAATGGAACATGTTTAGACGATATTTAGAGCAGTTGATCTTGTATCAAACGTGCCTTTGCACAATATAAAGTGATGCATAGATCGTGGATTAATGTTTACGGAGTGCCATGACATGCTGTTAGTCTAAAGCTATGACATCCAGGATCTGATCATGTCGCAGTGATGGCACAGTGTTGAAAATTACGTTTGAAAAACGTCGGTAATCCGACCAATAGGAACTTGATCTAGGATATACTGGGTGGGGATGATATGTAGACCAATCGGCCACTGTTTTACAGTTGGAGCATCTTTGGATTGGATTGTTTGCTTAGATTGACATGTCTATCATTTACCATACACTTGAAAAATTAAATGATACATTTAGGAATACTGCTTCGGATCTTCAGAATACCGCATCAGATCATTAGAAATGCTTTCAGGATGTAATGGGACATTGCTTTGAACAGTAACTTCCTGGCGGGAATAAGGAAAGGAGCTGAATTTCTGTTTGTTTTCGAAGGAAATAGATGTTTGGGGCAGCAAACGTGCCTCAATCAGTTGACTGTCCATTTTCCTATTTTTAGAATGGGAGATTTTCTGGATGAAAGTGGTTTATCTGGAATTTTGAGTAGCAGTTGAAATGGCTGGGGTGTGCGGATGCCTACCTGAAAGGGGAACCAGATTAAGAGATCTTTGCGGAGCATTCTTCATTGGAGGTGAAGTGCTGGAGTTTGTCGGGTTGGGACACTGTTCACAGGACAGGACAAGGATAAACGCTGGAAGAATTGTTGCTGGGATGGAACCATGAGTGCTGATTGATGATTGACAGGACTAAATGCTCATCCCAAACCTATGTTTGGAGCTTCACATTGTTGTCAGAGTGTGTGGGAACAAAAAAAGCATAAGCAGCTGTGTGAACATATTAGCAGCATTTGTTTTTGCTCCTCAGAGAATAAAAAATTCCTGGCCTTCCATGTAATTTGGCACATCCTCTCTTGTATGCCACTCTTGTGAATTATGTCATTTACAAGAAATGTCTTCATTTTTGTAAATACTGCTTTGAATGGATAGGTAATGGGTTGAGTATTTTTAACACAAAGGTCAGGACCTTTATCAGACTTGCTCACATTTAAGCCAACCTTTTACTAAACTAGGAAAGATTTTTCTATGGTCCAGTACATGATATATGGGGTCAAATAAAGTTGTTTTAGGTGTTGCCTGAAAGTGATATCGCTGCACCCTTGTCTAGACTGCACAATGATTGCTAAGCTCATAAAAGAAGTGGTAAAATAGTTATTAGTCTATTACCCAATTAGTCAATGAGCCACATCTCAATAGAACTGCACATAAAATCTTGAGGTGAGAGGCAGAATGCTGATCTGATGATAAAGGCTGAATATGCTGATATGTTTGTGCTCTCACACAGGGCTTGTCAAGATTAAAGAAGCAAGAGACATTGAGACAAAGCTAAATGAAGTGGAGCGACTGTTGAAGAATACCATTAACATGCCCTGGAAGGTGAGAGATCTAACTAATGACACCAGCAAGAAAAGGGCTTGTGCATTTGAGTGCAACAAACAAGAAACATCTCTTGTTATTTCTTTATTACATCTTGCCAGCTAACAGCTTAATTTAATTACCTGAACATCTTCCTGAATGGTTTACTGGAAGTGTTATCTTAAATTGCATACTAAAAGGATGTTTTCTCAGTTTTCTAGGTCAGAAGTTGTCTTAACATTCTTTGAACGCTCGCAGCTTGACCAGGTCCTGAGGAACGACAATGTCCACAAAATTCAGCCATGCTTTCAAAGTCCAGTTAAGATTTCAGGTATAGGTTTTTAATGTTAAAATGCGTGTTAATATTTATAAATATTACAATATTATATTATAGTGTAATATTGTTAAAATGTAAGCAATACAATTAATAGTGTAATTATTGTAATAGTGTTCAAATTTGAAGGGAACATTTAATCGTATAACACCCTGTCAGTTAAACTTCAGGGATATCAATCTGTACAGTTAGGAAGCATAAGTGATTGTGAATCAGTTTCACCTGCTTTGGTGCAAATGAAAGTGACAACAGGTGCACTGGAGAGGCAACAGCAAAACAACCCCCCAAAAGGAAATGGTTTTGCAGGTGATGGCTACAGACAATCGCTCTCTCCTCATCCTTCCTGACTGATTTGTCTCTAGTTCTATATTTCCTTGTCACTCCTTGTAGCATTAGGCAGTACCAGCAACCCAGTCATATATTGTATATGTAATGTGTGTATATATATATATATATATATACACACACACACAGGTGCATCTAAAAAAATTAGAATATTGTGAAAATGTTTTTTTTTTTGTAACTTATTTCAAAAAGTGAAACTTTCATATATTCTAGATTCATTACATGTAAAGTAAAACATTTCAAAAGTTTTTTTGTTTTAATTTTGATGATTAGAGCTTACAGCTCATGAAAGTCAAAAATCCAGTATTTCAAAATATTAGAATATTTCCTAAGATCAATCAAAAAAAGGATTTGCAAAACAGAAAAATTCAAATTCTTTAAAGTATGTCCATTTATGCACTCAATACTTGGTCAGCGCTTCTTTAGCACAAATGACAGCATCAGTGAGGTGTGGCATGGAAGCGATCAGCCTGTGGCACTGCTGAGGCACTATTGAGCCTTCAGCTCGTCTGTATTGTTGGATCGACTGTTTCTCATCTTTCTCTTGAAAATATCCCATAGATTTCATATGGGGTTCAGGTCAGGCATGTTGGCTGGCCATTCAAGCACAGTAATATTATGGTCAGCAAACCACTTGGAAGTGGTTTTGGCACTGTGGGCAGGTGCTAAAGTCCTGCTGGAAAAGGAAATCAGCATCTCCATAAAGCTTGTCACCAGATGGAAGGATAAAGTGTTCCAAAATCTCCTGGTAGATGGCTGCATTGACTTTGCAGGACCAACACCAGCACAACACCCCAAATCATTACTGACTTCGGAAACTTCACACTGGACTTCAAGCAGCTTGGATTCTGTGCCTCTCCAGTCTTCCTCCAGACTCCTGACCTTGATTTCCAAATGAAATGCAAAATTTACTTTTATCCGAAAAGAGGACTTTGGACCACTGAGCAACAGTCCAGTTCGTTTTCTCCTTAGGCCAGGTAAGATGCTTCTGACGTTGTTTCTGTTTCAGAAGTGGCTTGGTAGCCCTTTTCCTGAAGACGTCTGAGCGTGGGGACTCTTGATGCACTGACTCCAGCTTCAGTCCACTACTTGTGAAGCACTCCCAAGTGTTTGAATCGACTTTACTTGACAGTATTCTCAATCTTGCGGTCATCCCTGTTGCTTGTGCACCATTTCCAATAGGCATGGGCCGGTATGAGATTTTGATGGTATGATAACCTTAAGCAAAAATATCACGGTTTCACTTTATCACGGTATTGTTGTTACAGCTCTAAAATGTGTTAATTTGAAATGTCTGGGTAAAAAAAAAAAAATCTGAACACAATATATTTTGAGCAACATACAGAATATTTGGAACAGTAGTATTTGTTTAGTTTTTCTTTGATTTGAAAAGAAAGGCTCTGAATGGGACGCAGATTCACTCTCTGACAGCAGGAGGTGCTGATACAGCGTTTCCTTGGTTATCGCAGTAAACAAAGCAGAGCTGCGCTGAAACACTGCTTTAATGTGAATTATATGAGATGAAAAGAAAATACCATCTAAACGTTTCTGAAGACAGTCAGTTCCCCTCAGAAACACATTCATATAAACCCGCAAATCAATATTTAGGATTTTATTCCAATAGTTCATGCATCATGAACAGTGAGTGATCTGCCTGCTACAGTATTTTTCTCTTTGCGTCCGTCTTCAGCATCTCTGGCCTCTGTTAACGGGCATTTACAGACTTCATATTTTCACATAAACGACATTTGGAAAATGATATGCATTGCAACGCAGTTTGTGCAAGTCCAGAACAGAGATCGGCTGCAATAAAACAATAAACAGCCGGTTGCCGATCGCGCAAGTTCCAGAGGAAGCTCCTTCGGCCATCATACACACACGTGACTGACCGCTCGCTCGCACCAACAGGAGGGGGAGGGGCGTGTTACTCTCTACACTGCACTCAACCAGAAGGGATTCCTACACTTTCAGTCTTTGAGGAGACATTAAAAACAGCGCATACCGCATGAACGGTATAACGGAAAATATTAAGAGGTGTTGAAACCGTGAAATTTTCAAATCGCGGTATACCTTGAAACCGGTAATCGGCCCATGCCTAATTTCCAACACAATTTCTTCCTTCCAGTCAACTTTGCATTTAATATGCTTTGTGCGTCCGTCTTCAGCGTCTCTGGCCTCTGTTAACGGGCGTTTACAGACTTCATATTTTCACATAAACGACATTTGGAAAATGATATGCATTGCAACGCAGTTTGTGCAAGTCCAGAACAGAGATCGGCTGCAATAAAACAATTAACGGCCGGTTGCCGATTGCGTAAGTTCCAGAGGAAGCTCCTTCGGCCGTCATACACACGTGACTGACAGCTCGCTCGCACCAACAGGAGGAGGAGACGTGTTACTCTCTACACTGCACTCAACCTGAGGGATTCCGACGCTTTCAGTCTTTGAGGAGACATGAAAAACAGCGCATACCGCAGGAACGGTATAACGGAAGATATTAGAGGTTTTGAAACCGTGAAATTTTCAAATCGTGGTATACCTTGAAACCGGTAATCGGCCCATGCCTAAT